CCTGCTTCCTGACAATATTCTAAAAATGTTTTCTAAAAGGGAACGGGGATACAATTTGAGGGGGGAATTAAATTTAAAACATCCTCGTATCCGTACAACATTAAAAAGTTTTTGCATCTCTGTGTGTGGAGTGAAGCTGTGGAACAGACTAAGTAAAGATATGAAGCAATGACCGAGCATGGCACAATTTAAAAACCGGTTTATGGATATGGTTTTTACAGGGTACAGGGAAGAGGTAGAGATTTGATAGGGTGTTCTTGTCCAATATTTTCATGTGTGTGCGTGTGCACGGGTATGTTGGTATATATTTATATAATGACATATAATGTAATTGCAAGGAGCTATTTCTGTAGTCTATTGATTACTAGATAGTGGAAAAGGGGTGGGATTAAATAAGTTTATGCTTCTTCCTGCTCCTTTTTGAACATGAAAATTATTTGTAGTTGTGGTTGCTCGTTTTCCTTTTGTTTTGCTTTGTTCACTTGTCTCTTTTAATTCTATGTTGTTGTACTTTTTTCAACATGTTCAAAATAAAGATTCAATCAAATCAAATCAACGTCAAAGATTTGCGCCGTTATTGACGTCACACAGGGCACTCCTGGCCGTGTGCAGGAAATCTCAGAGCCAGCTTCAAAGACCAGTTTAAATTCAGTTAAAAGTTAAATAACTTTATACTTAATTTATTAGGACTACAGTCAGTCTAACAGCCACTCGCACCTTAACAATTTCAAAACCTCAAGTTTAGATAATTTGATGAAAGCAGAAAACTGCAGCATGTTGATTTTTGATTATCTCCTATTCTCTACACTACGGTATGGGGTGATCGACACGAAGAAGAAAGGTTTATTTTGATTCACAATAAATTATAAAATAAAAGTCTTAAAGGTGACACAACATTTTCAGTGGATTTTCACTCAACTCCGTGTCAAAGGCAGGATAATTTTTTACGTGTTTCTGGATCGAAGAAAACAACCACATCGTGGACACAAAACCCATCCGTGAGTGAAAGTGAAAGTTTCAGCGTTGAGCTTAAATACAGTGAGAAGAAAAAGCAAAGTGAATGTGAAGCAGTTCGAACCAGTCAGTGGGTCCAGCTCACCTTCTGCCATCACGTCCCTGTTATCATTAATCCAGCTGAACAGGACCAAGAACACGAAACGGAAACACCAGGTAAGATTACACCTGAGACTCCTGCACTGTCTGCCTGAGATTTATCCCAAAGTGCTACAACAGGGTTTTAGGTCTGAAGGCCGATTACGGCTGTTCCAATTCTAAGGCTGCTCCCAATACGTCCTACGTTTCCCCAGATTTGAAGGACGGGTCGGGTGGATCCTCCGTGGTCGGTTTTTTCTACGGAAAAATCGCGCGGCGTAAATTGAGGAAGTTGAAGTGAATACTTTGTCGAAGAGCACAATACAACTGTTTGAGAACGCGGAAACCCGTCGTTGTGGGATCACGTACTTTACTTGTGTCAAGCCAGCCTCCAGTTTGT